TATGTATGTATGTATGTATGTATGTATGTATGTATGTATGTATGTATGTATGTATGTATGTATGTATGTATGTATGTATGTATGTATGTATGTATGTATGTATGTATGTATGTATGTATGTATGTATGTATGTATGTATGTATGTATGTATGTATGTATGTATGTATGTATGTATGTATGTATGTATGTATGTATGTATGTATGTATGTATGTATGTATGTATGTATGTATGTATGTATGTATGTATGTATGTATGTATGTATGTATGTATGTATGTATGTATGTATGTATGTATGTATGTATGTACGTACGTACGTACGTACGTACGTACGTACGTACGTATGTATGTAGGGTAACGTGGGGCAAAACGTCGCATAGGGTAAAAAGCCTAAATTCAGTTTGCACGAAATTTGTTTAAAACCGAAAGTTGTTCAATTAATTTTTAAAAATTAGAACGTACCCATATTATTTTGAATATAAAACCACGCCGTTTCTTCAATTGTTTTTTCTGTTTCAGAGTTTTATATAATTTGCCAGTGAAAAATTGGTCGTGTTATAAAATTTGTGTTCGGTTTTTAATTAATTTCTTGATAATAAGATCGTTATTTGTGAAGAAACGAGGTTTTTTATGAAGAAAAATCATTTTCACATATACAAAAGTAACTTCTAATCGGTTGGAACAACTTTTTGTATTTTTAAATTAAATTTATTCTTAACATTGTCTACTGGGGTAAAACGCCTCTGTAACTTAGGGGCAAGAGGCCCAATTTACATTTATTGAACTATTTAACAAATTTCAGATATTTGTATGTAGGCAGCTATTCTTGTAGTTAATTGTTAAAATGTATTGAAATTTATGTTTTATGTGTAAATTAATTTCATGTATTTTAATTTTTAAGGTATAAAATGGTCAGAAATTATATAAGAAAATCTACAAGATGCTCGACTTATGATGGGGATGGTGAAAGTATAAAAAAGCATTGGATGCTCTAACCAATGGCTAGTTACTTAGTAAAGTTATCAGAGAACATGGAGTTCCTGCAAGAACTTTAAGAAGACATCAAAAAGCCTTGACAACATCTCCGGGAACTATAAAGCTTAGTCGGTTTTCAAGCGATCTAAAAATTTGACTCCTTGTGGGACATGTTCACAAATTTTTTGTAATGATTTCACAGGATTTCAATGAATAAAATGCCAAAAATGTAACATTTGGCATCATAATTCCTGTATAGGGCTGGAAGAAGACTATCGTAGAACTTTTATTTGTATCAATTAGGACAATAATTAACAATAAAAATAAAATTTTTATTTTCTTTTTATCTAATTTTTTTATGTACAATAAAACTTACAATTTTTTTACATTTTTGGATTTGAAACTATTTTTAAGGCTTATTTTAATAGTTTTTCTTCACAGGCCTTTTGCCCCATGCATGGGGCAAAAAGCCCATTTTATAGAGGTCTACGGTTTGTGTTATAAAACATAGGAAACCTATGTTTGAACAATTTAATTTGTAAAATTAGATAAAGGACATATCAATCTAGTAAAATAATCCCTAATGTTGTAGAAATATTCCATTTTTAGATGTAGTCACTCATCAAAGGCTTAACTATGACTTCTTGCCCCACCCTACCCTATGTATGTATGTGTATTATTATTATTAGTTAGATTTATATAGCGCCCTTTCATCAAATTTCAAAAACGCTGAAACAGATCACAAGGAAACAACAATCAAAGCGCTCATTGCGCAACCAGAAACGTTTTTAGTCCCCTCCTGAAGGATGAAATTGAATGCCCCGAAGCACACAGTTCCAAAGGCAGGCTATTCCATACGGATGGTCCAACAACTGAAAAATTTCTTGAACCTTTAAGATTTGTTGGGGCCACAAAAAGTAAGTCACGATCATTAGAACGTAATTTGTAGGAATGCCCTGGCATGGATGTATGTTGGTATGCACGTATGTATGTATGCATGTGTGTATGTATGTATGCATGTGTGTATGTATGTATGCATGTATGTATGTATTTATGTATGCGTGTATATATTTTCGTGCGTGTGTGTATCTATGATTTCCACATATAAACAAAAAACCTTCCACATGCAATAAATCAACTAACTGACCAATCAACAAACCAACCAGCCAGCCATCCAGCTTACATTAATAATCATTATCACTTAATTATGTTATTAATCAAATGAAACAGACATGCCCTGCTCAAGCTGATATTTAGCACATATTTAAAAATTTGAAAACGTTTCTGTTTATAATTTTACACAGACACAAAACAATTGAATAGAAATATTTTAGAAAACAAAAAGTTAAAAAAAATAGAACACAAGACCCATCGTATTTTTGTAATCAAAACCAGGACATCGAAACGGAACTGGACCGTAACCGAAAACCGTTAAAAACCGAGATTTTGCTTGCTCGGAACAAAAACCGTAACCGAACCGAAACATTGTTTGCTAGTTTAACCGAAAACCGTAACGAAATAAATAACGGTTCGATGCTAAAAATGTGAAAGAAAATATTTTTGTCAAATTCAGAAAAAAAATATTTTGATAATATTTCATCTTTTGAAATTCTATATTAATTTTTATTATCTTTGAAAATTTGTTATCTCTCTTTTCGCTCGTTTTTCCGACTGAGTTTGCCGATAGTTTGAGTAAGAGTTGCCGCGTGAAGAGAAATCCAGTAATGATCAGAGAAATTAGAGATCAAGTGCGATCATCTTCAAAATTTTGAAGTACCAGCTACACAAGTGAGCCTGAAAAAATCTGTTTTTAGGTTAAAATGTATCTTCAGAGACTGCAGAAGTGTTTTCAATAAAAACATTATAAAAGATATATTAATAATCAGAAAAAATTTCATCTTATTTGAAACAATCTTATATTTATATGAGGGATTTCAAAATATCTTTGTAATGATTGTTTTAATTTTTTAGAAAAAAAATTAAAAACGATTCCTTTTATACTGACAACGTTTAAAAATTATTTTTGATATTGATTTCTTATTATTCACAATCTAAAATTTAATTCAAATTGACATTGTGGTGGTAGTTGGATGTCCGTATGTCCGTTACATGCGTTTAAAGAAATATGCTTGTAAAAATTAAGTTTGGAGCGAGAGCGAAACCGAAAACTAAAAAAACCGATATCATTCCAGAAACGAAAACCGGGATCGAACCGAAATTCGTTTGGCAGATTGAACCGAAACCGTAAACTGAAACGAAAAAAATTACGGTTCGATGCCCTGATTCAAACATTAGATAAACCTGAGTACGTCATACAATCGAACACGTAAACAGTTGTAACGTATGCAAATTTCATTTTCAAAGCTCATTTTCAATATTTATAATGTTATATATTGTTTGTGCATTTGTAATTCTCTCCATCAACCTGTCCTCATCAGTAGCCCATGCAGCAATCGACTTGAAGGAATCTTACATAGGATGCTATCGAAACATCAGCTTAACGAAGACAGTTGCATCAGTTGGCTCAGTGGGTGAATGTTCACTGGAGTGCACAGATGAAAGTAACAATATGATCGCTTTGAAGAGTAGAAAAGAATGCAACTGTATTGGAAGGTTAGATTCAGCAGTGTGATGTTCCTTGCAACAATAAAGACGCTTGTGGTGGATGTGATTCATATTCCGATTATAAAAGCAAGCCACGAAAGACGCACGATGACTGCGCCAGTTTTGAAACACGTCAGACAGATGTCATTTTGATGACATTACCAAACACTTACACATTTGAAATGTGCGCACATTTTTGTTTTGAGACAAATTATACGTTTTTCCAGAAGATCGACTAGTTGAACAGATGCGGTTGCTTTCAAGAACATGGTACAGGAAACTGCTCCTTCACAAGATTAATTTGAGATCCCTGCTCAATTGACAGATCCGAAGTTTGCGGATGTTATCACCTAGGTCATGAGACAAAAGCAGCGATATTCGCAACACGCTTCCAATACGACTTCCAAAGAGGAGTATCAACTTATTCTCACTGCAGAAACAAAAACAACGGAAGTTACGAAATAACAGCAAACTGTCCTGATGGATGCGATCCGGGATGGAGAGGTGATTCATGCAGAGAAAGAGATTGCTCATCAGGTGGAGGAGATTGTCCCGTTGAAATGGAATGTATTGAGTCCACGGTGAATGGTAATAAGTACGTTGAATGTGTCTGTCCTCCTGGTAAGGTCAGAAACAAATGGTACCAATGTGAGGTTTTCAGGTAGAATTTAGCCTTGCATAAACCTCCTTATTACAGTTCACACATTTTTGAACACGAAAACTCCGTGGTGGGTTCCCATTACAAATTACATTTAACAGACGGCAACTATGACGGCTACCACATATCTCACATACTTGATGCCATGCCAGCCTGGATGGCGGTCGACCTGCTCAGTTTATATTGCGTAGGATTCATCAGAGCATACAACAGAATAAATCAAAGGACTGACTTCCTGAAAAGTTTGTTGTAAGGTTGAACGAAACGTTCGACGTGAGCATTAGAGAAGACATCAGAGACAAAGTCAACTTGTGCGGGTTCGGACCAGAAAAAGGGATACAGGGCGGAAATCCCATGATTGTTGTTTGTGAGAACTTCACTATCCTCACAAGATTTGTTTTCATTCAACCATCTGATGAGAGAATGAAAGATCATCATACAGCACTCGCAGAGTTGGAAGTATTCGAGGCTGGATGCGATCTTTTCAACGGGAGGTGCGGAGAGGTGGAGTCGTGCAGAGAGGAGAAGAAAGAAGGGACAGTCACCATCAGTTGTTCATACAAAATTACTGCAGCAAACGCCAATGAAGAAAGCAACTCAACAACTGAAGAAAGCAACGCAACAACTGAAGAAAGCAACTCAACAACTGAGGGAGTATATACAAGACTTCCGTCAAGTAATGTATTTTCAATTGTCGGAACCACAGGGGCCCTGTTTGCTGTTTTAGCTACGTCTGTTTTGTTGGCTTTGATTTTGAAAAAAAGAAAAAAGAAAGAGGAAGAGAAAAAGAAAGAAAGTAAAGACGCACAGTCGGAAGCTTCGCCTGAAGAAGATGAATTGTAGATGGATAAAATGTTTCGTAATCAACTTCATCCACAATACAATGATGATATGGTTAAAAATTGAAACGATGAAAAAAATTCTTTAAAGACAACATCGTTTTATTGTATTATCTTTCTAATGGTGCAAAATTTCTTTCTTACGAATAATGCTTTACATTGCATAAAAATTGTTTAAAATCCACAATATAAAAGAGTAATGGTACAAAACTGTTTGCTATTCTTAATAATGATGGTCATAATGATTGTGACGATTATATTGTTGACGTTGCTGCTACTGATGATGATCATCATAATGATGATGATGATGACGATGGTGATGATGACGACGATAGCATAGATAATTAAGTGATAATTTGTTTCGCGTGTTCTTTGTAGCACCTCTACAAGCTATTCTTATGATATTGTTACAACCGCAGAACTGATTAAATTGCGCTATATTATTTGTTATCCTAATTTATCTTTGTTATATTTGTAATCTTTGGATTGTAAAGAATCCTAAAAAAATATTTGTAATCTTTTGATCGTAAAAGTTGACGCTAACTCTTCCTCTGAAGAATTTCGCTGAACGCTCGTTATGCTCGAGTTTCTACATAAATATATACATACATACGTGCGTACGTACCAACGTACATACATAAATACACACATACATACACACACGCGCGCGCGCATACATTCTTGTAAATATGACTGCCTACAAAACTCTTGAGACATCAAATTAAGCTGTCAATAAAAAAGTATAAAAAATGCAACCAAGAAGAATAAAATAATAATAATAATTATATTATTAATATTATTATTATATTGTTATTTTTTTCATTATTATTGTTACTGTTTTGCGCGAGAGAAATAAACTCTATCTTAGTTTGTTTCTCCCATTCTCATTTCCTTCGATACAATTGGCGTTTCTAACTTGAAAATTGACAACAATAACATTTATAATGATTGTAATATTAAAAATAATAATAATTTTCACTGTTTTATTTTCAATTTTTAAACAAAATATCCAATTTAAAAAAAATTTCTTTTATTGAATCAACAAAATAAAATTCGGTTGTCAATTTTTTGAATAGAAAAAACAAAAGACGAAAAAAAGAAAGACTCATTCGAACGGTGCCTAAAACGAAGCAGATGGTGACGATGATGATGGCAAAGATGGCGATGCTGTTGACGATGATGAAGATCTTCTTCAATACGATGATAGTTATGGTGATGAAGAAGATGAGGATGGTGATGAGGATGACGATGAAGAAAAAGAAGAAGATGATGATGAAGATGATGATGAAATTGATGGTGATGATAACGATGAAGAGGAAAATGATGATGGTGATACTGACAATGTTAATGTTAACAATGATGACGATGTGATGTTTGTCTCTTAAATATTTAAAAAAATACTTAAATATTCAACCTACCAATTATAAGAACATTCGAAAATAATGGACATACGGACACACATTCACACACATACACGCACACACACAAACACACACACACATACACACAAAAACACACATACAGACACACAAACACACAGACACACACACATATACAAATGCACAACATGCCATATTCATATATTATTAATAAACATAAAGGGCTTAAATGCATGGTTTTATTATAAACCTTTAATCTTTATTAAATAAAAAGAATAAAACTAACAATAATAATGATGATGAGGATGATGAGAATGATGATGATAATGATTATGTAAAAAAAATAATAGTTTGTTTATTTGGTTAACGTAAAAAAAGCTCATACATAATGTTTTTTGCTGTTTTTTGTATGTATGTGTGTGTGTGTGTGTGTGTGTGTGTGTATGTATGTATGTATGTATGTATGTATGTATGTATGTATGTATGTATGTATGTATTTTAGTTCTTGAACAGTATTATTTCTGTTTTACGTAATTTTTAGTTCAAATTTCATTTTGTTTAAAACTATTTGTAAGGTGGCCATGCTAGATAAGTTACCTGATAACTTGACCATGGTCATCCTGTTTTCTTTTTTTCTATTTTTGAAGCAAATAAAGTATATCGTATCGTATCGTATCGTATCGTATGTATGTATGTACGGACGTTTGTGAGTATGTATGATTTTGTGTATGTATGTGTTTGTATGTGTGAATGAATGAATGTAGAATGTATGCGTATATAATCATTATATATATATATATATATATATATAGATACATATATTAATTTTTATATGTTTGTTTGCTTTTTGTTTGTCTTATAAGCTTAGTCTGTTGCGATTGTTAATTTAGTATATACAAAAACAAAATATATGGTATATAAATATAAATATATATATATATATATATATATATATAGAGAGAGAGAGAGAGAGAGAGAGAGAGAGAGTCCTGGTTATGACATTAAACTGACCCTCACTGCCTTGTGAGTGATGTTGGATCATCAAAGGCTAGGCCCACCGCTTATAACTGTGGTTGCGTAAGGAAGGGCGTCCTACGTAAAAACTAGCCAAAAATAATACTTATGATGACGGAAATAACAATGTGGATGGCGTCGAGGGGTATTTCGGTTTCATCATAGGTAGCCAAACGGCAACCCCCAATCTCGGGGAAAATGCCGTCTAAACGTGTGTTGTTGTTGTTGTATATATATATATATTTATATATTGACGAAAATCACAGCATGTTCGGCGTTAGTTAACTTCCAATTTAACTTTTCGATTTTCTAACGGTAGATCGTAAATCGAAGTTTCTTGAGTTCAAATCCAAAATTTTTATTCATTTCAATCGTGATAGAACAGAAAAGCTTTTTTAGGCTACCATCTTCGTCTTTCGAATTGATACGCTGTGTATGTGGCCAAATGTTCAATGAAGGGCATATTCGTAGAAGCACCTCAAATTCATCTTCTTCGAATTTGTGGTGCAGAATGACTGGAATTGTATATTCTATCTATCTTTTGCTACGTTAATTGTGTGTGTGTGTGTGTGTGTGTGTGGGTGTGTGTGTGTGGATGTGTGTGTGTGTGCGTGCACGCGTCAGATTATAAGTTAAAATTAAATTATTTACATTAAATGAAGCTAAAAAATCTAAATATGCAGTTTGAATGATCATCGCGTCGTCGTCATCATCATTGTTACTACTATCATCATCGGCACTGTCATCATCATCATCGTCGTTAGCTTCATCATCATCGTCGTCGTCATCATCACGTTTAAAATATGAAGCTGTGTTCCTGATTGATCTCGTTAAAACTGTTGTTAAATATTTTCAGCACATCTCTGGTCCCTGCTGAAGTTGAGTTGGGCGGTCGAAGACATGAATCGATTCTATTCGTTGATTCGGTATCGATAGTTGGTAATTTTTTTGTCTGTGTCGGTGTTGTCAGTGTTGACGGTATCGGTGTCGAGTCGGACTGCTTACCGATCGAATAGTTTTCATCGTATGACATTAGCGACGATGTTTGAAAGGTCTGATCAAGGCTTATGTTGTTGTTATTGATGTTGTTGTTGATGATGTTGCTGTTGTTGTTGTTGTTGTTGAGAAATACATTTAGTTTATTGTTGTTGTTGATGTTTCCTCTGGCATTGTTGTCCATATTGAGGAACGTATTGTCAGCTGTGTTGTTGATGATATTTGTATTTATGAAGTTGATATTATTATTATTACTACTGTTATTATTGTTATTATTATTATTGTTGTTGTTTTTGTTGTTGTTGTTGTTGTTGTCGTTTGCTGATGTGTTTATTGTAGGAGTTACCATAACATCTGGAGCTACTGTGCGTGTTAACAATAGGTTGCTCTGGTTATTAACGTTGCTGTTGTTATTGTTGTTGTTGTTTATGATGTTGCTGTTGTTGCTGTTGTTGTTGTTTATGATGTTGTCGTTAACGTAGTTGTTGTTAAAAACACTGCAGATATTATTATTCTTATTATCCATGAGTAATGAATTATAACTTTTAACACCACCACCACCACCATCATCATCACCTGTTTTCTCAACCATTCTACCATAATTCACATTTGATAATTCTGTTGACAGCCCCTGGCATATTCCGCTCAGAACATCACTACCATGATCACCACCATGATCACCACCATGATCACCACCATGATCACCACCATGATCACCACCATCACCACAACCGCCACAACCATCATCATTATCATTACGTATGCCATCTTTACCAACGATATCATCATCATTATCATCATCATCGTCATTAGGGTCGTTCTGATTGGATGAATTTTGTTTGTGTTGAATAAATTTGCTACTATTATTATTATTTTCAATATCATTATCATCATCAACAACGTCATCATCGTCGTCGTTGTCCTCATCATCATTAATTAGCATATTCATGTTGACAACTGAGCTTGGTA